ATATTTTAAAATATATAACTGATTAATTTTTCAAGATATTATTTTGATGATTTTTATATTTTTATCAAATATAATTTTTTTATCAATTAATTTATAAGTAGTTAACAAAATATAACCTTAATAAATTTTTAAAAGACATTCAATTTCCAAAACATTGAACAAGCCACGTGTATAAATGGGCAACTCCCATAAAAGCAAACAATGACGTTTCCAGAGCTGGCGTGTGGGGGCTAATTCCAAACCACCATCCATTCCTGCCTGTGTCTCTCTGCCATATCCATCCAATTTTGAATTGGTCCAAGATGCCATTTCAGTTCCATCATATTCTCCAAATCCCTCTTTCATATCTCAATTTCTAGGGTTTCTGAACGTCTCTGGCTTTTCAATAATGGTTAGTTTCACCAATTCTGCTGCTGTTTTACCTGATACGGGTTCAAATTCCAGCATCATGATCAAATGTACTTCAGTCGCCTCTTCTTCTTCTTCTTCTTCCTTGACTTATGTTGTTTCTCGGCTTCCTGTGAATTTTAAGCCGGTTAGTGTTAGTGTTTTTAACGTGGATGATCTCAAGGAAGTCGTTGAATCCAATCAAAAAGACCGCTTACGAAAGGCAATAGAAGCTCGGTTAATCAGTGAAAGAGTTTGAAGGGTGGAAAGATTCTTTAGAGACAGTCCAAACTATCAAGAAGTATGCAGAACGAATCAGGGCGAGCGAAATGGAGAAGTGTTTGGCAAGAATGGGTAGCAATATATCCAAGAAAAGCTAGAAAGCGATACATAACATGATCTTAGCAAAGGAGTAGTAAACAAGCTCCTTCTGGGTCCAGTGCAGTTGCAGCATCTGAGATGTGATGAAAACGAAGGCTGATCGATCTTAGAACGAGATACTCGAAAATATGCACCAGTTGAACCGGATTTTCGCTCTGGATACGGTGTTGGAAGAAAAGATCCGATCCAAGATGGAGAAATCCCAGGTATAATTTGAGCAAATTTACAAGTTAAGGATGCCCAAAATCAATCAAATGAATTTTGCTTTGAAAAAATTATAATGAAATTTGATGACACGTTTGTTTGGTACGAATTGGCAGGCAGGGAGGTGCAAGTGGAGACTTGTAACAATTTGGGGCCCAATTTATAGACTATAAACAAATCCAACAAGGCTTCTTTCTATTCGTTCGTTTAAGTTAACAGCATAAATAGATATATACGAACGGTAAACAAACAGATTTTTTTGCGTTCATGTTTGTTTGTTAAGAAAATGTGTTTGTTCGTTAAGATGTTAAATGAACGAATTTGTTGAAAACAACCATCATTGCTCTCTCATTCCGTTTCTCTAAGATAACATAACGACCGGGTGAAGTTATAAGAGAGAAAAAAATGGAATTCTAAAAACTTAATTTAATTAACCATTTTACATAAGGGGTCATGATATAAAAGCAGAAAAAGGTTTTGAGAAGTGGTAAGTATTTGAGTTGTAAACAAGTTATTCTAACTCTTCATACGGTCAATATTGGTCAAGAATTGCGGTTTGACTGGTCAAATGAAAAATAAAGAGGTAGTTACTTTTATAAATAGGCGGCAAACAAGTGCATATGTGAATCGAGTTAGTTAGTTCATATTTGAATCAGTTAATTAGTTCATATTTGAATCACACAATTTTACATAATCACTTGTTTTGTCGCCTATTTGTAAAAGTTACGAAACCACCTCACTATCTTTCGTATACCATGTGAGAAATTATCCGGTGCTTTACAGTAAAACCCCAAATCTAGACCAAATGCAGGGCTAGGATCACTTCATAACTTCTCAAATGAACCTATCGTTATATAAGTATATATATATATATATATATATATATATGGACGAGCGAAGCAATCGTTTATTTAACTAAGGAAACAAAAAATGTGTTTATGTTCGTTCATTTATTAAAATACACGAACATAAATGAACTTTCCAAATGTAACATGTCTAACAAAAGATTGCAACGGTCCTAGGAATTGGAACGGGATCTCGCAGATAATTGGAATATGCATGTGACAAGGGTGAGCGTGGCAGCTGTGACGGAGTATTTGATGGCGATTGTGACGACGACTATAATGGTGTGGCGGTGGAGGTGATGGATGAAGGTGTTGGTTAAATTAGATGTAAAAGTTACTTTTGTTGCATGATTAATAATAAAAGTTTGATAACTATTTTAATAAATATTTAATTTAATGTCTTTGAGAAAGTATTAATTAATTAAAATAGGTAAGGTTTTACCAACTTTGTTTTTATTTATATTTATATGT